ACTGGAGACAACAGCTGCTCCCCTGTGAAGCTGTTATGTACATGCCAAGTGTCTGCAGTGAGTGTTCAATAAATGCATGTGAAACATCTCTCCTCAGGCATCCAACAGTCAATGCAAAAAATTCTGTGGTTATCAATGCCCCTCTAGACATGCCCCTCAAGGAAGTATTCCCTGTTAAAATGCAGCCACCTCTGGGAATATCACACTTAAGTCACTGAGGTTCAAACACAACACCAGATCCTATTCATGTAGGTTAGGGTCTCAAGGCTTTAGGTCATCCTCTACTGCTTTCCCTGGCCATAAGCTGGATGGGAACCGGGGCTGCCAGGACATGAACTAGCACCCATATGGAACCCTGGCGCATGCAAGGTGAGAACTTTAGATGCTAGGATATTGTGCTGGGCCCGGCACTTGCCTATTGTTTACTCCAAGCTCCGGGAGCAGGCACTGAGTATTCAACGCTGTTTCCATCCCATACATCAGGCTAGGAATGAATATCTGAAAGTGGTCTTGTCAAGCAAGTTGAGGAGCAAACAAAACAGCAATACAAAAGAAATCCAATAAACTGGTCTGTCACTGATGGAGTAGCACATTAGGGAAGAAGATAAATAGTAACGACAATTAAAGCTGACATTTATTGAGCACTAATTCCTCCCCACATCCTGTTCTAATTATTTATAATCAATGAACTCATTTAATCTTTACAACCACTTCTGAATTAACAGCTCCATTGCACCTCAATGGTCAAATCCTCCCAGGGATTCGGGGGCAGCACTGGAATTCACATCCACGGAGTCGGGCTGCAGGGTTCCGGAGACAGTGATCCCACTCAGCACACAGGTGATAACACCGGGCTACCTCCAAAGGTGGCAGAAAATGAAACCGAAGGTGTGACGGTGAAGATGCCACTTGGGATGCTAGCGTTCCACTCTGTGATTCCGACCTCCCACCAGCGTACACTCCAGACCGCAGCAGTGACGTATCCATCGGCTGGGTCCTTACACCAACGTGGAAGACCCAGCTGGAGTTCTGGGCTCCTGCCGTCAGCCTGGTTCAGCCCTGGTATTACAGGTGCTTAGGAAGAGAACCAGTGGATGAAAGACACCTCTCTGCATCTTCCTGCCTTTTAACTAAACAATATAATGAGGAAAAAAAATGATATTAAAAGGGACCATGAATTTAATGACTGCAATGAGGCTAATCATGATACAACCTGAGGGACTAAAAAAAATATAAGATTTTTAGGGAGTCTTCAGGTACAAACACAAGTTTCTAGAATCCTCGTTTTATGTTCTTGGGAGTGGTACTTCTCCCTTCCTCACGTAACACAGACTGATGGGTTCAAAGACAAAGTAAAATACTTTCTACTAATAACAATTAGCAATCTGTGGGAAGGCCTAGCCACGTACAGTAGAAACAGCACAGGCTTGGTTCTGAAATTGGTTTAGCTGGTTATAAACTGAATGGCTTCATTTAAAGGATTTAATCTCTAAGCCTCTTCTACAAAACAGTTTTCTTTGAAAAGTATTCACTTGGGCCTGGTGTGGTAGCCTAGTGACTAAAGCCCTTGCTTTGCATGCGCCAGGATCCCATTTGGGCACCAGTTTCTGTCCTGGTGGCCCCACATCCCAGCCAGCTCCCTGCCTGTGGCCTGGGAAAGCAGTAGAGGATGGCCCAAAGACTTGGGACCCTGTACCCATGTAGGAGACCCAGAAGAAGCTGTTGGAGCTTCAGATTGGCTCAGCTCCATCCACAGTGGCCACTTGGGGAGTGAACCAGTGGACAGGAGATCATTCTCTCTGTATCTCCTTCTTTTTGTATAGCTGACTATCCAATTAAAATGAATAAATCTTTTAAAAAATTCACTGACTACTCACTACATGTCAGGCAAGCTGGGTGATGGAATTCAAAGATGACCGAGATCTCGGGTCCTACCTCCTAGGACCTGTAGTCTTAAGAGAAATGACACAAACATCCTGTATTCTGTAGGGCTAACCTGAGGAGCAGGATTAGCTGGAGGGTTCTCCCTAAGTGCAGTAAGTAGTAGGCATCTGACTAAGTGGAACTGAGGCGAATAAAATTAGGGAGCAAAAGTTTCTAAAAAGTACAGTTTTTTAAGCTTTCAAAATTAATTTTACAGGATTACTACAATAAAGTAAGATTTTGAACTAAAATTATTATGTATTCCTTTTATTTATATAATAATGTTTTTAGTAGAAATATACAAAGAGAAAGCAAATGAAGGTACTAGAATGAATTCATAATGGTTTAGTGCCTTGACACAGCACTTCCATGATACGTGAGTTTTTACATGAAAATGTTTACTGAAAGTGAGAACTGACACTTTCAAATGAAAGTATCTTACACTGTACTTATCCTAAATGGCACCAGATGGAAGCTGCTCCATTTGTATTATTATTGTAGTAGCAAGTTGACATTCTCATTGATTTTGACTATTGTGGTACCAAATTTACTATGAATAGTAAATAATAATAACAAAACCTTATGTCTCTGATCAGATATATGAAAAGTAATGAATTAATGGGTGAAATCTCCTAGGGATGAGTTGCAAATGTTTCAGGTGTACAAAGAAGCATATTTTTCCCTACAACATTTGTTGAGATGAATGGGCTTTGAAGCAGATCTTACACGGCTCATTGGCCAAGCCAATGGACTCAATGCATTGTCTGAGGGCACATCCGGCCCTTTCCTGAAAGACCTGGGTAATAATTTTTAAAAGTAATGAAATAATTTTAAAGGGCTTCCCAAATTTGCTAACAAAGTCTTTTTCTCTCACTTTTCCTAAGATCACCAAATCTGTTTTCATAGGAAACTACTGGTCTTGATTTTCAATCTAATTCTAAGTAATCAGAAGTGTTTGCCAAAGCAGGAATAGCTGGATAAAACTGGCTACTGAGACTTTTTTTGGCGGGAGTAGAAATGGGATTACCAGTGATGTCACTGACAGCAAGTAAAGTCTGGCTGACAGCCAATGAAAAGTGGGAAACAGCACATGTCAGTGAGACGGAATCCAAAAATCAGGGCTGCTCTGAGGGCAGGAAAACTTGGAGCCCAAGAGGGTATGGGCAGATTTCAGCATTGTTGGTGACACCTCACGAGCTAACAGTAGTAGCAATAAAGACTACTAGATGAGTGTAGACATGAAATGAATTATCCCAGCCAATGATGATTTCATTACTCAAGGTCACCTAGTAAATAGCCAGCCTAGGCTTTTTATGCAGATCTGCAGTCAATTACCTCAGCCATCCAACACGGTGGGCATAGTTGTTAGGAATGCACGCAAACAGTTGGCTTGGCTACAGTTGTGTGTCTTGGCAGAAAATAAAAAGCAGAGGGGAAGAGAATTGTTAAAGTTTTATTTTTAGCAAACTGTCCAAGGCCATGTAACTAGCAAGCAGTGCACTGATGCATTTCATCAATTGTGATCTCCCATCACGCTACACTGCACTGCCTTCTGCAGCAGACCGGAAGAAAAGCAGTGATATAAGGTCCTTATGTAACTTGCTAAAATGCCTCTTTAGGATTGTGGCTCTAAACAAACCTATAGAAAGATTCTCTTGCAGAAGGGCAAACAGGGACATACAGAAAATCTGTGGCTAAAACCTCATGACCTAAATTGTCAAATAGGCAGAAATTTTCACCTAATATATACAGATAACTGTGTATGAAGTTAAATAGGAGCGGCTCAAAATTATTTAATTTCCTACCCATGTATCCTTTATAGCTAACATAATGAACGGAAGCTTAAAACGAAACCCTAAGTGGCTAATTATTAGACAAGCATCCGTAACAATTACTAACTGACCCAGGACTGTGAACAAGGATGGGTCGTATCCAACAGGTGGCAGGTCACAGCAGTTAATCTCAGCAGGGCTGTTTCAGGGGGATTGAAGATCCCTGGGGAAACAGCACAGGGTTTTTCTGTAAGTCTGCAAGGGACAGCTGTGATACAATGGCTCAAGTTCCATGAAGCAAAAGCTTTCACAGGCATGCAATCTCCTATCAGGAGGGACCTGGCCTTGAGTGTGCCCTGAGCACCTTCAACATGCCAAGTTCTGTGTGGGGGACAGAAAGATGAACAGGGCCAGCCACAAGAGCCCACAGGAGCCTAGAAGTCTGATGACGGCTCGGCAGAAACAGAGACAACGGGCGGGCTGAATGAACTCAGGTCAGACAGAGTGGAGTTGAATTTCTAACTTTGGGAGAGCGGCAGCACTTCAGTGTAGTTAAGGTGAAGGTTACCATAGCATGTGAGTTTTTGGGAGGACCAAGTGAAACCAATTTTGGGAAGGTTGATGGTTCTTCCTTTCTTGATAGAAATCTAAACTTGGCTGTGAGTAATGAAATGCTGTCAATGTAATAAATGTTCAACTCTTCCTGGAAGACAATCCGCTGGCTGAGGGTACTGTAATTAAACAAGGACCTGTCTCTCAATAGTTGAGATTACTGAGTTAAACTGTATGAAATTTTGTTGAAACTTCTGATATGCATACTCTTGCTCTCTATTGCCCTTTCCAGTACAACCTTTACACCTTTAAACTAAACAGAAATTTTAGCTTTTTAAAAAAGGGCAAAGCAGCAACTGTCGCACTGCACACTTCTTTGACTACCAAAGCTGGGCATTTTAATGTGTATTGTTTCCTGCATTACTTTTCTGAACAAAAGACCCTGTTATCTTTAAAATTCAGAAAACTAGACTTTTTCAGAACCTCAGCCCATAGAAATTACCAAGAGATAAGAATATAGTGTCAACACTTGAGTTAGTTTGAGGGAGTAAAAGAAGAAAAAATTCGGATGGCCCCACAGGACGATGAAAGCAATGAATCACAGGGAAAAACCGTTTTGGTAAAAGAATATTCTAAAGTATTTGACACAAATCCACACATAAACAGATCTGTGCAAAATTTCGGTGCTGGCTGCATTACCTTGTCCCCAGAAAGCCTAGCTAGTGAGCAGAAGAAATCAGTAGGCACACTCACTGTGGCGTGTGAGATGGTCAGAATTCCATTCTTCACAACACACTTCCTTCTCTGCCACACTTTGCGGATCCTGAGGGAAATCAAAGGAAACTGATGTCATGTCTGATTTACTCAAGGACAACAATTACACAATGAGAGGCATAATATATTAACTACAGAAGACCTGCCCCCAGCCAATCCTACATAACAGAAAATTCTAGAGGTGGTTATTATTATTTTTTTAAAATTCTTCATGGCAGCTAATTCAGATGAACAGCCATGTACAAGTATGCTCTTTATAGCACTATTTTTCAAAATTAGTGTTTTCCATGAAATGTTTCCACAGACACAGAGATTTTCCCCCCAGAACCCTCAGAAGTCCCAACATGGCTTTCTCCTATATTATTATAATAGCATAGTCCTACAGCAAGTCACAAGTCCAACATTCCGCTGTTTAGTGTATCATGGCATTAAAAAAATTACCTTAAAGAAGTGACACAGCACAAATTTTAAACTAACTCTTAGAGCAGAAAGACTTGTCACCTGGTGTAGGTAACTAGTAGAAGCAGAGTTGGTTCTAGAAGCGCTTCACAGAAGCAAGTAAGGATTTGACAGCATCTGACCAAATGTAAACCGCCCACAGTATGCTCAAAATCCAGACCTCCTTTGCAGGTAACTGCAACCACCAACTAATAGTCCTCAAACTCTAGCTACATAGCATGTTTTCTGTAGTTCGTACGGACTGATTAGAGGCACTACCTGTCAGAAAATCGCAACAGCATCTGGGTAACACAGGCAGCTCTCTGGAATGCCACAGCTCACCCCATAAACATCTCTCAGGACCAAGGCATTTTCTGCACCCACTAAGCCAAAACCATTGTGATCCACTCCAGCAACCAAATGATTTCACCTCAAAGGAACCTGTCCTCACTTGGTCTATTCATTTTAAATTGGGTCTTTCTTCATTAGTTCTTACACTTATATATTAAGGAAATGTAGGTGGTAACATTTACATTCCCTTGCACTGTGAATTCAGGCAAGGGAAGTAATACAAAAACATCCATTCTTTCAGGTAACGGAGATCACTAATGTGGTGCATCCAGATGCCAGAGAAAAGTGAGCAAGGTACAGGCGTCCACTCACGGCGGAGAGCAGCATCACAAGGCTCACAGCGTTTTCAGAACACTCTGATAAGCTTTCACTCCAAGCTGTCACTAGCTGTGCTCAAAGATTTGTGAACACTTGGGTCTGTGTTGTCACTGAATGAACATACCAAGAACTCTCACCAGAAGGTGTCCACACAAAGCCACTGAGATCGCTCCAGGTCACAATTTCCAAATTTCAGGAAAGGAAGTGTGTTATAAAGTACAAACTTCAATGCTGGGTCACAGGAGCTCGGTCTCAGTGTTACCACCATTAGCTATGTGGTACTGCTTATGAACCCTCTTGGGAGTTTACACTCCTTATCAATATAATGAAGATCATAATCCCCATCTCCTGGAACTATTTTGAGAATATCTGCTCCTTTGATTTTCAATAAATGTCTTGGAGCTACAAAATTTTTAAATTATTTAAAGAAATTTTTAATTAAAAAATCCTTTAAGTATCACAATTCTTCAAGTAATAAGAAACATTCCAAAATTAAGGTCAGAAATCAATCATTTAAATGACTTCAGGAAAAAAAAAATTAAACCTCAGCAGTCACTGTGAACAAATGGGTCTGCATGTCTAAGTACTTCAGTCACAAGCAACCTTGAACCACCATTACTGGATTTTTACTTCCTGTGTAATTATTAGGAAGTTGGGCTGTCTGAGGTCAATTTTAAGATGCAATAGTTATTTCATTATCTCTGAAAAGACTACAGATAAGGTAAGGCTGAGGAGCCCATCTCATCTGCCGTTCACCTCCAGTTCCTGTAGGCTCCCTCCAACATGACGGTGGTTCACTAATGTGTGTGGACTGAGGGAAGGAAGATGGAATGAAAGAGTGGAGGAGAGGGGAGAGTTTCTGGCTTGCATATCCCAAGGAAGGTAACAGAACTATGTTCCTTTAGCACAGCAAGGGGAGATACTTAAGATTAAGTCAGGAGACCATATTCCAATCTGGCTCCCATACTTACTGCCTGTATAATCTTAGTCAAATTATTTCATCTCTCTGAAAAAGATGTCCAATGAGAGAAGAGGTGTCCGACAGTTATGGGCAGTTATAGGGAGGATTATTCACAAGATGATAATTTCCTTGAACACATAAGGGTTTGAACTAAACACTCTTTAAAGAAAAGACTTTTTGATCTCCCTTCAGGATACAAATGCTAATCACTTTACTCAGAAACAGATCATCATAATTTCAGGAAAACCAATGTGACTTTAGGCAAGCAGTGTGAAAAAAAAGGTTCCATACTTCTGCTTCAAAAGATGCATAATACCCTATCATTGCCCCCAACAGAACACATTAATTGCCCTTTTGATGGAGGAAGATGTTGTCAGATTTCTAAGAGAAGTCTGAATAACAGAAGGTTGGGAAAAGGATGTGGTGTCGCACTCCGGAACTTTCTAGCAAGATCAATGATGGAAACGAGCTCACATAAACTGGGTTCCACACAGCACAGAGTTATAGTTTTGTCTCTGTTGGTTTAAAGGGTCTTGGGGGTAGGGATTTCTTGCCTTGTCTTCTATCAGGACTTCATTTTCTGTGATGAACTTGGTGCTGTGTAAGTGTGAGGGTCCTTTTTCTTTACACCACGTAACAGCTCCTATTGGCTCTATTTTCTCAGCCCAGGATCAGACCACTTCTTCCTACCTCTGCTACTGGGGCTCCACCTGGGTTTGTGCAGCACCCTCCTAACCACTCTCCCTGCTCCTTCCTGCTCTTGTATCCCACACTTACTTTGGTAGGGCAGACAGGGGGAAAAAACCTTTCAAAACATTCCAGATCATGTCACTTCTCTGCTAAAAATCCTTCAGTGACTTCCCTCTTGCACTCAGTGCTTTCGGCTTCCTGTCCCCTCTGTCCTGATCTCGGGGGGGTCTCATGAGTCATTGCAGCCATGCTGCACTCCTGGCCACTCCCCCTTCTCCCAGGAACCTGCATAGTCTGCTCCTTTCCCTCCGTGTGCTCAAACACCCCCAGCCAAGTCCTCTCTGACCACTCTCAGCACGCTCCTTGCCTCACTCTGTCTACAGCATTAATTGCCATCTACCTACCACACTTTTACTTACTGCCATCTATGTTCCCCTTCAGAACATAAACTCTAAGGATAAGGACTTTCCTTCCTCATGCCTAGAAGAGTGAGTCCAAGACACACAGTAGGATTCTCAGAATGCTGAGAATTCATGCTGAATGTGTGAATTAAGAGTGATGATCAAAACAAATTGTAATCTTGGAAATCTACAACTATTTCCAATGTCAACAAATGAATGAAAATAGACCAAAAAATGTGCACATCTTTGATTAAGGCAAGAAAGCGGTACATCCACAATTAGAAAACAAACAGCTTCCTTATTTTAAAAAAATGACAGTTAAGGAGAAAATCAAATTTGTAGTTATACACTTGCTTTGAAACAGAACCGCCAACTTAGGAAACAAAGAAGGGCAATGTGGCAGGGTCAGGGTAAAAAATGGTATAAGCTGAAGCTGGGGAGGGAGGTCTGGCCGAGATGCTAAACATGATGGGAAACCACTTGAGGGAAGCAGGAAAAGGAAGGTATTTTCGAGAAGACCATGCTGAGTGCTAGGGCTGGTGACCTGGAGCGGAGTATGTGACAGAGCAGACCATTTGCGAAGCTTAGGTACAGAGTACAGACAGGACAGTGGCTCATCCTAGAGCAGGGCTAGGAGTCACCAAAAGTCTGTTATTTTAAAGTTAGAAAGCAAAGGCTTTGGTTAGATTGTGATTTAAATGGAGTGAAGAAGTTTTAGGCGACGCCCAGCTTGCGAAGAGGACATTTCAGGTCGAGGAAAACCTCACAGAAGACAGAGCAGAAGGACAGGAGGGCTTGTGGGGAGAGCATGGCTTGCCTCCTCTGCTGCTCAGTCTGCCTTCTGGAAACCACAGGCTATGAGCCACAGGTGCCACTAAGAGGTGGGTCACAGAACAATTGACCCTTCTTCCAAAGATAACAGAATTATTTAAAATCAGTATACTAAAGGTGTGTAGCTAGTGGCCTTAGAAAACTTGTGTGTGTTTTGATGTCAGACAGGAAGGAAAAGTTCCCGACTGACAACAGTCAGTATGCTAACTACACCCCAGGGCAGTGGTGGTGGTGGAATGCTCACATACCCATCACTCTTCTTGAGCAGGTAGCCCTTCTTCTCACTGCCGTACTCTTTGTTTCCCTGGAGCTGATGCATGCTGTAACCTCCTTGCCGGCTCTGGGAATCCTAGAAAACAAAGTGGAGATTCAACAAAAATGGAGTCTATTCTGCCATTCAGTCTTTGCCGACAAGCCAGAGTGCAAGAGAACTGAACAACGTGGGGCCTGTGAGGTGATGTCTTCATTTTGGAGGAAGAAAGCAGGGCAAGCACTCAGTTGCCCAAGCCATAAGACGTAAGTTCAAGTCAGGGCATGGCCTGGGGTGTAGCTCTCCTATTTCTAGATCAGAGGCCAGCTCTATTTTCAAGTGAATTCAAACAAGCAGAAGCACCGCAGGCGATAAGAGGAGTCACACTGGTTCATGCAGCAGCAAGGCAGCAACGCAGGAAGGACTGGACTACAACTGAACATGCTCGTCCCAGGACTGCATCTTTACTTTCTCTCGCTAAGTTATCACCAGTGAAAGGGAACCTTCTGCGTGAGGCATTAATAGTTACTACACAATCCTTTTTTCTTCTAACTAACTTGTGCTCTGTAAAATATAGCTGTAATCATAGCTTGCACTTAAAAGGATGACTCCAAGGTAATGACAAGCGTATGAAGTAGCAAGGACAGTGACAAAGGGCGAATCCACAGCAGAGACACAAATAAGATGGACTTCACCCCAGCACCCCACTGGCATTTATCATCAAGGATCATGTGACCTGAAACAGTCCTCACAGTCTGAAAATGTAACAAGTGTTACACTGGGAACATGGGTCTTTCAACATGTAAACACGACCACACATTCTCACAGAAAGTACTGTCTACACCTACAATGCCGTGATACACTTCAGAAGCAGAATGCTGGACTTGCGATTGTTGCTGAAGGGCTAAACTGCTGTAATAATATGGGGGGAAAGCTGTGGAGGGGGGAGAGTGGGGAGGAAGGAAGGAGAGGGGGAGGGGGAAATCCTTATGTCTATAGAACTAGATCGTGGAAAATAACAATAAAAATTAATAAAAAATTATTGACTTACTCTCCTAGACTTCGATCAGGAAGGGCAAAAGCAACAGAGAAAAAAAAAGGCAGAACATTTGAAAACAGTTAATTTCACTGAAAATCTTACCACACATAACTGAAGCAGTTTGTTATAAATACATATATATATATATATGTATATGTATTGTAAAGAGATTAGAACTAGAAATTACATGCACCTGTAGAATTAGAGTAAGTACTGGATGATGGCCCACCATATCTTCCTCTTTATCCGATCTTATTTCTGGTAATGCTGAGTGGGCACAGGAATATAAAAGGGAGTGGAAGACCATGGGGTACACATTTTTCACCAGGACAAAATGGCTGGTGAGCACTGAAATCCAAAGGAGGTACTTAGAAAGCCTAGTAACTGCAAATGGTAGGAGGAGTCTCGGTGTTTCTCCCCTGAATGATGAGCACACGCATTGCTGAGAGCCAGGATGCTTCTGCCAGGTGTGAGAATCCTTCTGGACCAAATCGCATGGACTCAGAGATGTAAATTAATGTTAGTAACAAGTGAAAGAAAAATCTGCAGGACAAAGTGTCTTTCCAAGAGTATTCTAGACATGACAGATTCTGTTTGTACACACACTCTAACACCTCCCACAAGCCAGGTATTAAGGGCACCTGCACAGGACACAAGCCTTGAAGTGAGATGAGTGTTCACATTCTAGCCGTATCACTGCCCCGCTCTCTGCTGTGGGTAAATGAGAGAGGAATACTGCACCTGACCAGGCAAGTGGACTCCCACGAATGAGGAGACAAACACAGGTATTTAAGTGAAGTGACTTTTCTGTCTTCAGCAGGTTAGGTTCCCTCCAATACCTAACTGGTTGGACAACTTTAGTTACTTGGCTAGGGGTGTAACACAGACTGTGATCTAGGAATCTAAATTTTACTTTTAACCATGGCCCAGAGCCATGTAACCCACGTAATTTGGTTAAATCTTCTGGATGGTATTTTCATGCTTCCTGGATGTGGACAGAATGAGAGACTGTCCACAACACCAGGCACAGGAGGGGCAGTGTTGCTGTCAGAAGCAACGGCAACAGCAGAGGGTCTCATTGGGAAGGAACCAGTGTGCTCATAAATCCACGAAGAAAACAAGACCGAATATTAGATCAGAAGTGGGGGGGTTGAGTGATGCAACCAAACAAGAGGCAGATTCCTGATTCAATCAAGTGAAATCATATTAAGATTACTCAGTTACAGATTTAGAGTTATGAATCCCTGCTGTAATTCTACCTCCTAGAAATATTCCAAACAAACTCCAAAATCTGGGATATCCATTCCTTTAAAACACCTCCTTCCTCAGAACCTTTGTCAGTGAACTAGACTTCTCTGCCCACATAATCTTAGGGTCTGTATGAAGCTTGAAAACAGAATTTCTCTAACCTTAAGGCATTTGCCAGGATTTAAAAGTCTAGGACTTGGGCCCAGCGTGGTGGCCTAGCGGCTAAAAGTTCTCGCCTTGAATGCGCCAAGACTCCATATGGGCGCCAGTTTTAATCCCGGCAGCTCCACTTCCCATCCAGCTCCCTGCTTGTAGCCTGGAAAAGCAGTCGAGGATGGCCCAAGGCTTTGGGACCCTGCACCCGTGTGGGAGACCCGGAAGAGGTTCCTGGATCCTGGCTCCGGATCGGCATAGCATCGGTCGTTGTGCTCACTTGGGGAGTGAATCATCGGACGGAAGATCTTCCTCTCTGTCTCTCCTCCTCTCTGTATATCTGACTTTGTAATAAACATAAATAAATCTTTAAAAAAAAAGTCTAGGGCTTAATGAGAAAACTACTATGCTAAGTTAATTTGCTATTCAGTCATTTCTTACATATAGATTCTGAACTGCAAACACTAACTGAATGGGTTCATGTCACATCTGCTAGCCATGCTTGTAAAGGTGAACAAACTGGTGTCTAGGTTTTGACTTCATCAGACTAAGCAGGAGTATGTCTTCATATTGCTAAATTAACAGTAAGCCTACAGTAACAATCAGTGAATTTTATACTTAATAAAGTCACACCAACTGTTGTGTGGTTTGAGAAATCATGGCCATTCAGCTTGCTCAGCACGGTATTCTAGATCAATGAAAAGTAGATTTTCTGATAGATATTGGAGAATTATTAAGTAATAATGATTAATATTAAAATATACACATAAATAGGTCCAAATTCTCTGACAGCATAACAGAAATGAATGATGCACTAAGACAGAAATGCAAGTGAAAAACTCATTTGGGCAAGAATGTAACACTAAACAACAAACTTACAATAAAACCTTAGGGAAATTATGTGAGTCAGAGAGTATAAACTATAGAATGAAGTCAGACTATTTTTTTTTGTTCAGTTCAATTTCCTTTTCTCCATTAGCAACACAGACAAATCACCTTTATCTGTAAAGTCATTCTAATATATAAATGTGTTATTAAGGAATAAAAGCTCAAATCTTTTAAAATTGCAAGCAATTATACATCAACTGATTTAATGTGGCTTAAAATGCTTCTAACATCCATTCTGTGTAAAGTACAGAAGGATCTATTCCATTTCATCTTTCTAAATATTTACTGAGCAGTTTCAGGGTGCCAGTCAACTGGGACAGTTTCTGTGAAACCTGTGAACCAACGCCAAAAGGGGTTTTCAGAATGTATATCGGGAACTTCAACAGAGAGCTTGACTTTTTGGTATGAATTAGTATATTATAAATGCGATGGCATTACCCAAAGCAATTTCAATCTTAAAAATAGTCAGGTTTCAGATATTTCTTTTGGTAGGCTGGGGTAGCATAAAAGGAACAGATAATTTCATTAAACAATTTTATTAAACTTCTGCCAGAAGATTATAACCTGAATTCGAATTTACTGAGAAAAACAAGTCTTCCAAAAATCAGGGTATCCTCCAGGCTGAGTATTACCACTCTGAAAATTTAAAATCTGGAATTCCAAAAACATATTGAGAGTACTCAAAAATGTTGCTTTCTGAAAAAAATATTTAGTTGAGTGAGAGAGGGAAAGAGAGAAAGAGATAGAGAGAGATTGAATCTTCCACCTACCAGTTCACTCTCTAGACATCTGCACGAATTGGGATTGGAGCAGGCTTAAGCCAGGAGCTAGGAGTTTCTTCCAGTTATCCTATGTGGGTGGCAGGGGCCTAAACACTTGGGTCATTTTGGGGTTTAAGCCTGCCAGCAGGCCCCAAGGTCACCAAAGTTGAGGTGATGGTCCAGGAACCACCTGAGACAGGCAGGTGGAGCACAAACTCCTACCCAGGGATAACAGTGTGGGAGAAGGTGGCTTCACGTGTTAGCCCCCAGATTTTGGATTTCAAGTTAGAGAATGCACACCTGGTATTGCCTACACAAATATCCAGAACTCTAAAACCTGAAACATTTCTGACACTGAGCATTTTGGATGAGGAATATTCAAGTTATAGCAACAACTAAAATTTCTGGAGATTCGTTTAATGGATCCAAGTTAGAATTCGGGGGAATGAGGGGAGGGGAAGGTATGTTTAAATAGGTTAAGTGACTGCTTGCATTTTAGTTTTTTAGGCAGTCTTATTGGAAATATTTATTTGTTGGAAAGGCAGAACATCAGAGACAGAGGGAGAGTAGCAGGGAGAATGAGAAGGCCAATGAGAGGAAAATTCAAAGGCGAGAGAAAGGGTAAGAGACAGATCTTCCATCTATTGGTTCATTCAAGTTGCTACCACAACAGCTAGGTCTGGGCTGGGTCAGGCCAAAGCCGGGAGCCAGGAAACCCATCAATGTCTCTATCATAGTTAGTAGGGACCCAAGCACTTGGGACACCTTCTGCTGCCTTCACAGATGCATCAGCAGGAAGCTGGATCACAAGTGTAACAGCTGAGAACTGAATGTGCTGATACGAGATGCTGGCACTGTAGGCAGAAGCTCAGTTCTCTGTGCCACAGCTCTGGCTCCCTGCCAGCAATCTTTCAGACAGCTTTAAACAGCTGTGCTGTGGTAAGAGTTCCGTAACGGGCAGTCTCCTACATATATGCTAAGTCATTACGAATCAGTGCTTTCCAAACACATTTTGCAATGAGAGATGGTGAAGAGCACGAGAAAGGGATACACATGCTGAGAAAAGGCAATTTAAAGTACTCTGGGCATGAGGCAAACGCGACTCATCATTTATTAATTTGACATGGAGTTAAAGTAAATCACGTGCATTTCATTGTATACATGCTCCTTTAAGTTTACACTTCTCTAGCTAGCATAGTGTTTCAGTCTACATAAAACAAGGGGATGGTGCTGTTTTCCCACCTACTCCCTCACCCCCTTTGTGTTCAAGGAAACGTACATGGGTAGAGAGGTGGTAATCCTGGATGATGACAAAGGCAGGAAATAGTTGAAGTGCATGGTGGGCAGTTAAAAAGCCTTACGATTTTTCTCAGAATTGTGCAATCATTCAGAGAGGGTACTGCTTCTCCTAAGGTTTGTGTGTCAGCAATAAGCACCTTCACAATCAACACTTTCACAGAGTTGAGCACATGTGCTTCAGTCTGAAGACTACTAGGCTTCTGATACTTGGAAGTTCTAAAGCACAGCTGGAGAACTCACTGGCAGGTGCCAGCTCTGAGACTCTGGATGACACCATGTAGATCCTGCTTAGCCACTGTGTTGGCAGGTCCCCAGGGTCAGGCACTATGAGGTTGCTTTAAATAATCCATGGAATATGCTTATTTTAGTGCAAAATTCATGCATAGCCTTTTTCTTAGAACATGCATTTCTATGAAGTTTTTTGAAAATCTCTTGTATAGGTTCTCTCATTTGAACAAAACCAAGTGAGCCTACCAAAAACTGGATTCAGGGACGCAGACAAGGATATACTTACTTGGTAAATAAAAACTTCAGGTTTTAAAATGGCTAGTAATTGGCTTCCCGCAATGCAGGGTGCATGGTGTTTTAGGGGAGCTATTTTACTCCTGTTTTAGAATCATGGCCCTTTTCAGAAAATGTTGGAATAAAAAAATATTCTGCTGGGTAACTATGGCGTTAACTATTTAAGGTTTTTTAAAAAAATATTTAGTTTTACTCATTTGAAGGTCAGAAGGGGAGACAGTGAGCAAGTGGGCTCTCTCCGATTTGTGAGTTCACCCCTAAAAGTCCCTGACTGGGTTGGGCTGAAGCTGGGAACTTAGTCCAGGTCTCCAACTTGAGTGGCAGACTCACAACTTCACTAATCATCAGATGCCCATGCCCATTATGAAGAAGCTGCAAGGGGGAGCTGAGCTGAGATTCCAACTCAGGCACTGAGAGATGCACTGCAGGCACCCTATGTAGCAAGGATCTAGCCGGTACAATTCGCATAGCCGTGGTATGAGCCCCGTGTGATCAAGGCTGAGCTTCAACCTCAGAAATCAAATTTCTTACTCCTCCTGTATTTTGCCGCAGTTTTCTACCCCAGTGCCTTCTAGGTTTCCTGCTTTTGCCTTCAGGGTGGTGTCTAAGTATATTACTAATAGCAGGGATGCCATGTAGGCATGACTAATTGTGTACATGGTTGGTTCATTTCGCTTCCTAATGACTTCCTTGATGGCAGGGTAGTAAAGTTTAAGATCTAGAACCATTTCAGACATACATTAGTTATTCACTTAAAGTATGAACAAATGATTTACAATTAATGCTCTGTAGCACACTCATCTAAGATCTGTTGTGCTTCATGTACTTTCACTATCCACGGCTGTTGTCAATTTAATTCTCTGAATCGAAGGTCAAAGCATCGGTAGGATTTAAAATACTTCCTTGACAAAAAGAGATTCCCTCTGGTTGCCAGAAAGACAAAGAAGACCCACAAAGAAGAGTTACAGGGTGTGTATCTCAGACATCAGCAGCCCTACAGAAACACTCCGTAAGTTCACCAGTTAACACTGGAAATAAAGACAGGGGTCACCCGTTCTTAAAAGGGGCGAGAGAAGAAAGGCTTCTACTTGGTGAACCATGGGAAGTACACATTTGCATGTTTTACTCACATGTCCCCACCAGCACTCAGCCAGCCTGCTTTGCAGACAGGGTGCACACAGCCTCACACGGAGTGCCAGCTCTCATCAGCGTCCAGATCACCTACCTCTTTCTGATCAAGTTGAAGAGATGATTTTATTAAGTCTCGGAGTGCAGTTAATTGTTTCTTTTCTTCATCCTGCGTCTGCTTTATCTGTGAAGGGAAGATTGAACTTCTATAACTTTTTGGTCATGTATGCTCTTATGAATAGTTGACCCAAATATCCCACTCACTGAACTATCCAATTATGCAGCTGATTTCCTCAGTGAAGTTCCTCACACTGTCTCACTTCTGATAACAGTCTCTCTCTTCATGAAAACACCTGTGATTTTTGAGATCAGTGAACAACTTGATGTGTTTTCTTATTAAATAATACATACTTAGGCAAGGTCATTAGCTGTGAAGTAGTATAATTAAGCAACACTAAAAAGCAGCCTTTAGGTCCTTTGAATTTTCTATTACGAAAGCAAAACATGGATATTAGAAAAAGAAAATATAAAATAAGCAAAGTAACCTTTTAAACTTACTGTACCTTGATGGATATTCATCTTGAGCAGATGCCTATCTACCCGACCCAAAACACATGAAACACTTTGGAAAATGAGGCCACCAATGAGCTCGCTGAGTTTGGGTGAAGGCTTGTCTGTTCTCGGCTATACTGGAATTATCTTTGAACATACTGTGTTTTTATTAGTCTCCACATATAGATTTCAAATTTAAAGGCATTTACCAATGGAAGAGGGTTAAGGTGCATGTATTTCATAAAAACACTTACATTATATAAGTCAGCAGCCAATTTTTCAGTGTACTGTTTCAGCTTATCAGCTATTTTCAAGCCATCTTGGAAGAAACTACAACACAAAACATTAAAGATTTAGAAGCAATATAAAAAAGAAACTATAATTACTAGTAAAACTTGAAACTACTGATTTACATATTTAGCATGTGTCCTTTCATCTCATAAAACAGTTATAAAGCTCATTTCAGTATTTATAAAAATTCTTCAACAAACGATGGCTATCGCTTGACATCTGATAGAAGATATCACACAGACAATTACAGCTGCAGTCTTAACACAGTGACTTGCTAATGTATATACTCACCTGTATGCAGCACAAGGCCTCCTGTATGGGCCGCACTTTAATTCAAAATGGAAAGGGAGACATGCTAAGGTGTGGGATATCATGAAGTTCAACTGGATGTTACAAGGAGCTATGGGCCTGAAGATAAGGCAGGAGGATATCAGAGTTCATTTAGTTCCCTGAAGATTCATGTGTTCCAACACATACCAACGAACTTGCAATTTATCCTGTCACATGTTTAGGGTGGCATTATTCCACCTGAGTAGTAACAAGAACTCTCTCCCATTTGTGGAGATTTATCACAGGCCCAGCACTGTGCAAAGCACTTTATATACTATTATCTAATCTACTCAAGTTTCATGAATTAAGCATTTCAATCTCATTGACTGTAAAAAGGGTACACTGAGGCACAGAGTGACTATAAAACCTGCTTGAGTCGCCCAAACAACTGATGAGTGGCAGCACTGGGATGTGGATCCAAGCCTGTTCAATTCTGAAGCTGCATTTTTAACTCTCTAGGGAAGATTTCTTGTCTTAGACACACACCTGCACTCAGGAGTCTGGTCTTCATAATTTTCTCTCCCTATTTTTAGGGAGGGAAAAGGGGATGAAGATCAAGTTAGCACCAAGGGGTCAGCGTTGTAGTGTAGCGGGTAAGGCTGCCTGTGATGCCAGCATCCCAGATGGGCAGTGGTTCAAGTGCTGGCTGTACTACTTCTGATCCACTCCCTGCTAATGCACTTCGCAAAGCAGCAGAAGATGGTCCTTGTATTCATGTGTGAGACCTGGAGGAAGATCCTGGCTTCTGACTGGCCCACCTCCAGAAGCTGTGACCATTTGGGGAGTTGAATCAGCAGATGGGACACCTCTATCTCCTCTGTTGTCCCTGTACCTTTGCCTTGCAAATAAACAATCTTTTTTAAAAAGGAGAATTATTTTTTTCCAAAGGAAATCACCTAATAATTTAGTCCATCATGACAATGTGCAGTCCCTGAGGAAGAGTCTAAAGCACATCTGGGGTAATGAACACATTCCCCTGCAGGAGAGTGGTGGACCCCAACTTCACAAGGCCAGCAACTCCTGCACCAGGCACACTTTCAGAATTCTACCTATACAATTCTTTATCTGGTTACTCATTTCTATTCTTCATAAGCCAGTAATAATAAGCAAAAGAATAAGTAAAATGTCATTGCAATCCAACAACACAGATGACTGCTAACATGAACGGCATGTAAGGAAAAGAGGCCCAGAGAGATCAAGTAGCCTGACCGAACTTATTTAAAGCATCAAAGTTGAGTTCTAGATCTAAGTCTTCCTATCTCTAGAACACAGGTGACAAACAAGGCTGATCTAAGTTCAAATCTTGGTTCTACTACTTAAAAACCACATAACTGCTAGATCCTTGACTCTCGGAGTCCTTACACAGGGAACAGAAATAATCACACCTAACTTGCGGAATTCTTACAGGTAGTGGCAGTAAGACACTTAACATGCCAGGCACAGTGATGCAGCTCAACGGATGATGTTCACAGGCCAACCATACGAACCACAATGTTTCTCTAATGTTAAAGATAGCAAGATTCGCTTCATGTTTTAGATAAGCAAATTGAAATAAATGTCACCATATTTTAATGACATAGGTTGCTAGACCAAATGGTAGTTGCCAAGTGAGGGGCAAACGGGCTTCATCTTTACACAAACAAATTCTAATACACACACATGGCAAGCCACCCATCCAACAGGCAGGAGATACTCTCCTGCTGGATCTTTAACCACTGTGTCTAAACAATGATGGTAAAAGGAAACTGAGAAAACAGGAGTATTTATCCAATTTTCCTCATGAGATATTCTGCTTGGCTTGGTTTAGAAGGAGCTCAAGTTTGAACACTCAGAGAATAAGAAATCAGGATATCCTGGAATATCACGGAAATCATTTTCCTCCAAACAAACTAAAAAAAAAAAAAAAAAAAAGAAAAAAAAAAGAAAAAAAAGAGATGTGAAGCGAGCCACAATCAAATCCCATATCAATCCCTTTGGGAAGCGTGGGTTTCAAGCTCATAGCTCTGACTAGTCAGATACTAATTTCCAACATTCTAGGCCAAAGAATGTTTTTAAATATCCTGTGATATTTTAAGAAAGAGAATGCACGGGGGCTATTGCAAGTACTAATTAGTTACAAACACAGCTTGACAGATCAAAGAGACCATAGAGAATACAGTACATCAGAGTTGCATCTGGAGATTCTTAAAAATGTCTAATTCTGGGCCAAATCCCAAGCTTACGGAGTCCACATTTCTGCATACTATCTAAGAACATTCTTGCTAAAGTCAGTGAGCTGGGCTGTAGATAAGGGGCTGTAGCTTTCAGGTAAGTTCTAAGAGGACATGGGCCTCTGTGTTTTACACTTGTCCTACCGAGATAAAATACGTGTAAAATAAAAATCTCTGGGTGCTTTAGAGTAGCACCCAGAAATTTTTATTTATGTTCTTGATGTTACCCAACTATCACCACTAGCTCATTCCAGACATTTCTATGCTCCCAAAAGAGACCTTGTACATGTCAGCAGCAGCTACCATTCCCTCTCCTTTCATATAATACACAGTTTGGCATCTTTATGTGATTACTAATGTTCCATAAAATTCATACACATCAATTTCATTAGCTCATGGTAACATCAGTATTTCCATGTTTGGGACTTTCAGAGTAATGGACCCATAAATTCTCAACATACACATTTCAATTTAAATCCCTCTTTTCAATTCTCTTGAGGTAATAAGCAGGGGTAGGAGAATGTGAGCTTTTTTAAAAGAGAAACTGCCAAAATGTTTTTCAAAGCAGTTATTGATGCCTACCACGGTAACTGGAGAAGGGCGGAGTTTGGTTCCAACCAGATGCAGAACTGATGGTGGAGTTCTGGCGGGACTCTCAGGCTGCGAGACCACCGCTGCACCAATGAGGGACACAGACCCATATCCCCCCACCATTAAGGGCCGAGACGATCCCCGTTTTGGCTTCGTGTCAAAGAGAGTTTAAAAAGCCCCACCCCCATCTCTTCCACTCTCTTCTTCCTCTGCGGCCCACTCCTTCACATCTGTCTGCTGCACGGGGAAGGGAAGCCAGTGCCCGAGGTTCCCCGAAAGAAAAGTCTTCTAAATTCTTCTCCTGTATTTGGCTGTGTTATTCTTTCCCTGGTGGTTGGCGAATATAACATTTAGTGAGCGGTGAATCTAACAGTTATGCTAGTTTGTACTCCTACTGGCAATGTATGGTTTCCAATTTTTGCACATCCTCACTGGGACTAGTTTCCATTTGTGTATGTGCTTTATTTTTCATTACAATTCTTTCCTAATGGCTGTGAAGTGGTATCACTCTGGTTTTGGTTCCATTTTCTTAGCAATTAGGGTTTTTGTGCTTTTGGGATATCTTTTTTTTTTTTTTTAATTGTTCTTGTTGTTTTTAAAGAGAACTATTGAAAACCTTTGCCCATTTAAAAATTTGGGCTGTTTATCAAAGAAATTATTTGAAAATACTTTCACATACTGTTATAATTTCTTAACAGTATTCTTACAAGAGCAGAACTTTTAATTCTGAAGTCCAATTGAACTATTTTTTCCCTTAGATTTCCTATATTTACTTCAGTTATTCTGACACTTTACTGACCACCTATTAAATGACTATGACATCATGCAAACTACTGATTCTCTATCAGCTTTAATTTTTCTATTGCTGTGAATAATAAGAAATCCAATGTAAAGAATTATGGCAGAATACACATACACACATACACACACACACACACACCCCGGTCAATAAGACACTTGGTTGATGTTAGTCATACTTATTTATAAAATGAAGGGTAATAATCTTTATTTTTTTAAAAAATTATTTACAGAAAAAGGGAAAGAAAATTCAGAAATGTTGGTTCACTGCCCAAATGCTGCAATAGCTGGAGCTAGGCCAGTCGAAGCCAGGTACCTGGATCCAGGTTTCATGTGTGCGTGGCAGAAACCCAGGTACTTGAGCCATCCCCTCTGCTTCCCAGGCATTACTACCAGGAAGTCAGGGTTGGAAAGTGAGGTGGAACTGGAACCCAGGCACTCTGAAAACAGGATGCAGGCATCCCAAGTGGTGGTTTAACCAATGTGCTAAATGCCTTCCCCTTTTAAAAGCTTTTGACTGCAGATCGTAATGATGAGCCAGGTGACAAAGAGTGGGTGAGCTGGAGGACATGTGCTTTGCGAGCAGCATATTATCTAAAATGTCCATTTTTGGAAATGAAGAGTAATTTGTGTGAGTGTGTTGGAATAGGCACAAAAAACACAACGGGTCTTCTCTTCTGCCAGGATCCCACATAGGTGCTGGTGTGTTTCAGGGACTCTGCTTCTGAGCTGGCTACCTGCTGATGGTCAGGAAAGGACTGCACAGGATATCCCAACAGCTTAGGCCCCTGTCCCCCAGGTGAGGGACCTGGATCAAAGCTGTGGCTGGGCCTGACTCAGCCTTGGCCGTGGTAGCCACTCGGGGAGTGAGCCAGAGGATGCAAGATATGTCTCTATCTCTGTGATTCTTTCAAATGGATAAAGTCAATCATTTCTTTTTCCCCTTTAAGCAGAGAATGCTTTATGTGTCTTACGTGTCTGGCATGCTTGTGGGGATTCCCAGAGTCCACCCAAGGGGTAACGCAGTCTGAGTTCCACTGTGACTCTGCTCTACTGCACGGAACAACTGGCCTAGCAAGAGGGTCTTCCCTGCAGGCTCCCTGCTGGCCTCTCTCTAGGGGAAGATGTCCCTGGGATCCCCACGGCCAGACCTCAGCTGCCCTAAGTCTAACCCCAAGCATCGGTGCCTTCTGTATCTTCCTGCCTTGGCACCTTGTCTGATGCCTCAAGGTACTAGTCACTGTCTAGCTCCACTATGAGTATGAATGTCTGAACTGGATTTACTTTCCATATCTGACAAGTAACTGCCCAGGAGGCTTATTTCTTTCTGTTTCTTTCTCTCTCTGGTTCTTTTTTAACCTATGTTCCAGAACCTAACAAAGTACTTGGTCTTTGGTGGGCGATTAATCAATGTTTGTGAAATGAGAAAACACAGAGAATGAAAAACCTAAAGGGAAAATGCATTGTGTTGCTTTTCTTACCTATGCTAACAAAGACTACATGACATTACTTCAAAAGGTTGTGGAAAGACGGAATTAAAAGACAAAGTTTGGTGCCAATTTCCTTTCTCTTTTTTAAATCTATGCCTTATTTTTTTATACTATGCAATTTAGTTTAAAAAGTATCTTAAATTTTTGAAAACTCATGTCTACGTACATTTGGCCCTTCTTTGCAAACTTAGGAACTTTGAAATAAAAAAAGATATTTCTAAAATCATGAAATCAGATTTGCTGCCAGTGTTGTGATTCACAAAACGATGAGATTCACTTACTTTAGCAGAACTGTCAAAGCAATAAAATATTTCTACAAAACTCAAACAGACAAAAAAATCCACCCAAACTTAATTCAGAGAGTACCACACAACATGTTTCATTTCACAGTTTCGTAACTGGCCGTGAACAATACAGAGCCAAAGGCAGCCCTTCAGGAAACAAACTTGACCCTATAAACAACAAAACTCTCTCTACTTCAGTGCACAGTGGTTATTTCTGAAATATTTGTGCACAGTAAAATATACTTTGAAAAGAGGGGAAAAAAACTACAAATCAAATCTATGGAAGCAACAATCTGATCACTAAAAAGCTTTTCCTGAAAACCGTCTAATCTACGGACAACCTGTAAATGAGTGACGTTTATACCACTTGGAATCATCACATAGGGTACTTTGAAAAGTTCACCAAAAATATGTATTATCTATTCACTCCTTTGCCCATGAACTTTGGGAAAAAACCTCACACATCTGTCAGAAACACTGCGCTGTCTCTGCTGACGACTAAGGAATGCAGCAGAAGCTAGCCTCAGCTGGTGGGTGCTTGCCACTCTCGTGAGAGTCCTGGAAGAGGCTCCTGGCTTTCCTCCGGCCTTGTCCCAGCCATCTGGGAATGAACTAGCAGATGAAAAATCTGTAAGGCTCCTTTGACATAAATAGCTAAGTAAATACATACAAGTAATAAGAGTGACAAAAAGAAACTGTATTTAACTTTTTAGAGGACACACATTTTTTTCCTAGTTCAAATGACCTTTGCATCCTTCCACCCGGGAGGGTTATCTGGGTCACTCCAGCAAGTTTTTGAACTGTTCTCTCTAAAACTTCTATCAGTTAACAGGCTTTTACAGTCACTGACATGTAAAAGATGTCTTTTACAATGACATTATTAGGAAACTCATGAAACTTAACCCAAAAAGTCAAAGAAGTTTAAAAAGGCAGATGTGACATCACAGCATTGTGATCAGAGAACAAAAGACAGGCCTGAGACGCAAACAAAGACGATACCAGCATACAACGATGGCTCTCGAAAAATAATCCCAATTACATGGTACAAATGATTCAATAATAGGTAAAATGTCAAGTAAGGGAGGAGGACAGGCTCATCAACAGGCCTCGGTGCGGTAAGCATAGGTTTCTGTGCAGAGTTCTAAAGGCTGCCAAGGTTAACAGAGGCAAGAGACAATATTTCACGTTAACTCAACAGTCATCTTACTTTGAGTTACTAATTTACATGGAAAACAACACTGTTTCATATTAAGCCTAGAATGTCATTATGTTACTGTAGTAGCCACCAAACCAAGAAAGGAAATGTGATTAAGAAAACCAATGACACGAAGGGGACCTTACTTGGGCTAAAAATAATGAACTGATCTACTTACTTGCACTGTGCATGATAATATTTGATAAGATTCTGCAGCAGATCTACACCCTTTTTGGTCTTGATTTCATTCACTTTGATGAGATACTGTGGAAATAAAGCAGAATTTTAAGCTGTTAATTGCAGATAAGGCTTTTTAGTGCAGCAGTGGCAGAACACCACTTATGAATATGCATATGTTAATGAGTCCCAGTGGCCTTCAGACAATACAAGCTCAGTTTAGAGAACAATGATTTGGCAAAGTCACAAAGTGTATAAAAACAAGTTGATTAAAGAGTTAGCATTTTGTAAATAGTGACAATTAGTTTATCACACAAGCAGAACTAAGGCAGCAAAATATTCTAGAAAAACTGTTTCCCTGGTGCAGTGGATCTCAAGCTTAGAGGTCACCGGACAAAATCTGAAACACTGATTGTCTTTTCCAGGTACAGTAGCGTTGTCTTTGTGAAATATGCTGTAAGACATGAGAGCAAGAAGGTGAACCAGAAAGAATACTTGCTTCTCAAAAAACGAAAGCATAAAGATGCAGTTAAATAAACTCTGGTAATTCAGATTTGTCACTATTATCAGAGCTTTCTGCTCACATTGAGAGAAAGCATACTTGAACAATTAGGTTCAGGAGCCAAAGGTTTATGAGAAAGAAAAGCAAGAAAATGTTGGGAAGAAAGTTTAAATTGTGAGCTGTCTCCACCTTCACAGCTTCTGAAAACTGCCAAGGCACAGAGCCAGAGGGACTGTTCCTTTAGTTGAAATGCTGGCTACCCTTCTAAGTTCAGCTTGAGAACCTCTGCTCTCAGTTGAAGTCAACATGCTTTTCACTACAATTTTTTCATGAACTCAGAATTCCTTAATGGCTACTCAAGATTTCATTCAAATTTGACATAGGGTTAAAAAAAAGCATGCTTTAAGCTTGCAACAATAAAAATATTCACTAACGTTACCCCCTCATCAAATCTTTTCCCCACAAGATCACTCACAAGCAATGTTAAAGTTCTCACCAAAGAATCCTGTTTTGGCTTAAAGAGCCCCATAGGACCAAGGCTCAAATTATGAGACATGTGCCATGGTGGGTCCCAAAAGGCTTGGAGACAAATGAAGATTAGAATCCTTAAGAAACGGTGCCCTCCTCTAATCTTCAAACACAGCCTGCCTGGAAGCATAAAGACTGCTGACTAGGAGCTGTCAGTCTGCCTGTGGCCACGCATCGGGAGCAGGGTCTTACTTCACACATCTGCAGCTGAAAGAGGCGCCTTTCCTTCTCCATTTCCTCTGCGATCTCAGCTCCTGTTATTTCCGTGCGGATCATGCCATGCTGTTTTGCATGTTCTCTTTTCTCCTTCTCAATTTTTGTACTGTAATTAGAGCAGATATCACTATTAAAAAAAATACATTCTGGCAAACACTAGGAGTGGCCCTAAGGTAAACTATGGCCTCTGGATGATAACGTGTCTTTGCAGGCTCACCAAACGCACACTGTGGTGGATTCATGACAGCAGGGGTGCTTGTATGTGCTGGGGCAGAGGGCATGGGCAAACTACAGGTTCTGCTCAAAGAGAAAGTCAATTAAAAAGCAAACTACAACTCTACCTTAACTGAAAATCACCATCCATGCCTTAATTACCAAAGATATAAAGTTAAGAATTAAGCTGGTAGAATCAATGAGAAGTAAACATCTCACTTCAAAGAAAACAAACATATGGAATAGATTTTCATCTACCAAACTTTTTAGATTCTAACTCTGATCTTCTACGACAATTCATGTAAATTCTTACATTTTAGTTGGTTGAAGAAATGTATCTTCTCTTGGGTAAAACACATTATGGTGAAAAAGAATCAGAAAATTGAAGACTTGAGACTTTTGCTATTGAATTATTTCAAGACAAAGCATCTAAGATGTCTTTGTGGTGATGCACAGAAATGAAATGAAAGGTAATTTCCAACAGTCTCTAAATAGATTATCCCCACATTTCAATAACACATTTTAATTATTTCATGACATGTCTTTGGATTATATAAAATAAGGACTGGAAGAAACTCCAAAGTATAATTTGGAGTCCTATGAAATCATTCTTGAGTGAGGGGAAGGCAAGGGCGCTACGGAACAAGAAGACGTGAGGAAGCCTAACATCCCTGGGCTAGTCCTCAGCTCTGACAGAGAACCTTCTGGTAAACCCAAGAATCAGAGTCCTCTTTCCCAAACCTGTTTAATGAGGAAAACCAGGAGCACTGACTGAGGAGGGAGGGAGGAGGAAAGTACGGTTATCTTCTCAAAATGATAGGTACAAAAAAATACATGAAATCTTTTTTTAAAGAAACAAAACATAAAAATGCACTTCTACCTTCAGAAATAGCCTGTGTAGTCCAGCTCTGAATGCAAAGGCTAGTTGATCTAACTTTCAAAGTCTTCTCTAAGTTGCAGTGGTGGTATGGGAATCAAAGCCCTTGTCTACATAGAAACATTGTGGGAAATGAAATCCATCAATCAAAGCTAAATCTATTCCCACCTGGTTGGGATTCATTCTAATACTCTAACACTACATCTAAGGAACTCTTTAATCAGTGTCACCTTGGCAGTTAGGGGCTTAAGAAGAAATGTGAAGGGTCAGGTTCAATTTCTTCTTTTAGGGAATCCTCCAGAGGGATAGTGAGGGCTTAAACAGGTGTTATCTCCAAAAGGCAAGAATAATTGAAGACTAAATGGATGAGAGAATTCAGCAAGTACTTGGAAAGTTGTGGCTGAGGCGAGAAGGAACAACACAGTAGTCTGAACCTTGCCCCTTACTGCTTTCTGGTTCCCTCGCTCATAGCTTCCGTCACCACGAACCATCTCCAGACAGGATGCTGGGAGTCCCCTGAGGACAGAGCTTGATGAGAACACTCCTACCTAGTAAAAGAGATGTCTTGGTGTCCTAAAACTTAAAACTCTCCAAAAAGAGGGGCCACTGCTTTGTTGACAGGCCGTGCTTATGCACATGAACTTTCAATCTGTCTTGGAGTGCCTCGCTCTAAAATACGGAAGAGAGCTGTAAACAGCTTCTAAAGTGAAAGGGAGCAAGTGCAACAGCCAAAGGGGGAGAGTAGAAATGAACCAAAAAGATCAAGGAAGCAAACACAGCTTACAAAATGTCAGCTCCTTTGCCGAAAAACTGTATCTACGAAACAAACAACAGAAGGAAATTATCACAAGGCAAGATACCCTGGCTGAGTAAAAGGGGTTTAAGAGATTTTAAACATGGTAGTAAAAATACAAATGCCCACTGAAAGGGGAAAAACAGTGAAGAAATAACCTAAGATATATCAGAACAGAACAGACAAGAGAAGAAAATGATTAGAACAATGCATGAAATCCAGATTAGTCTGAAACAGAGAAACAAACAAAAGTACCAGGAGGAATTAGAAGAAACATTCAAATCACAAATACAAAAACTGCAAAATGGAGCTGCACACAATGGCACATGAAGAATTTTTTTAAAACCTCTATAGAGAGAAGAATTTTTGTAAAACCTTGGTGCCTAACTGTAAAACAAAACAAAACAAAACAACAAAATAAGGAACTGCTACATGCCATGTAAAAATAAATGGGGAGCAGGGAGGCACCAGGTTCCTGGCTTCGGACAGGCGCAGTTCCGGCCATTGTGGCCACTTGGGGAGTGAATCAGCAGATGGAACATCTTCCTCTATGTCTCTCTCTGTATATCTGACTTTCCAATTAAAAAAAAAATCTAAAAAAAAAAAAAATCAGCGACACCAGAAACTAAAAAAATGAGGAAGCAATGCCTTCAATATTTCCAGAGAAAAAGATGAATCAGGTAAACTCTTATGCAGTGTGTGACAGTAGGGAAAGACATTTGGACAGGTAAAAATCATACAGAACACATCAGAGGTGTTTCCTGGAACCTCCTGCAACAGGACAGCAAAATTTGGACCACACCAGGAGAGAGGAAGTAGATGTAAAACTAGTACGTCAAAAGGTGGTCTCAGTAAGACTGTTACAGTGCTGATCTAATGGGCTGGGGAGAAAAGGAACCAAGATCACTTATTATTGCTTAAGATTTATTTATTTTTACTGTAAAGGCAGATATACCAAGAGAAAGCGATACAGAAAGAAAGACCTTCCATCTGTTGGTTCACTCCCTAAGTGGCTCCAGTGGTTGGAGCTGGGCTGATCTGAAGCCAGGAGCCAGAAACCACTTCTGGGTCTCCCACGTGGATGCAGGGTCCCAAGGCTTTGGGCCATGGTCCACTGCTTTCCCAGGCCACAAGCAGGGAGATGGGTGGGAAGTGGAGGAGCCAGGATATGAACCAGTGCACATATGGGATCCTGGATAGGATTCAGTCACTAGGCTATCACGCAGGGCCCTGACAGATTATTTAATGACTACACACACACACACACACACACACACACACACACACACACACACACACACACACACACAATCAGTGTAATAATATGTAATATATATATTCTTCAAACATAAATACTGACAGGTGTCTGACATCTGTTGGAGCAGATGATAAAAATTCACAAAAGATGTGTAGAGCTAAAGAAATGAGGTAATTATGTCATTAAGCAAGAGCCTAAAAGTGAACTATCAAAACAAATCCAATCATAATATATTGTTCAAATATTTACCAAAAAAACTCAACCAAAGATGCAAGCGAAAAGTTACTGAATTCACCATATGGGACGAAAGAGGGTAGAAAAATTAATGAAGTGGTTTTGTAAGAAAGTTCAATATTTGTCTGATATAGGACTAAGTTATAATTGAAACAAGAAATGATGCAACACTGAGGGATATCCCATAAAGCAGGGAAAGAGAAGAGAGAGTAAGGAAAGGACACAGGGGCTTGCGGGGCTGGGCTCCCAGGGCTGCTGTGTTTTTCCTGAGAAGCACCCTTTGCTGTTTGGGAAGCAGCTGGATCAGTGGGTATAGGAGGAGCCCACTGAGTCGGGCTGTTGGAGGCAGGCCCTGAGCCCTTCCCAGAGGGCGCCAACAGTGTCTAGGCCCTCTGATGTTTCATTTTGAGCACATGCATTATCTTGACCAATTAAAATTTGATTAGAATGAAACCTGCTAGAAACTACGTGCTGCATGGCTCCTCTGTCACACTGCAACAGGCACACCAGCGCTGGAGTTTGCCTTCACAAAAAGCTTCTGAAAGGCAATTTTCCCATCATTTTATAGGTGAGGATCGCCTAAGTTAAGGTCTTAAAAATTGTAACCACTTCATTACCTCCCAAGTTCTAAATGGAAGGCTACAAAACAGCAACCTTACTGAAACAAATAAATCAACTTTTTTGGCATGTATAAGTTATTTTGTTTTCTATAATTCCTAACTGAATGAGCCCTTTAAAACATCAGACAAATGGCTGTTTCCTGCCCCCAACCCCCACCAATATGTTAGTGAGAAAGGAGTTTGGTTTTAGAAAAACAAAACAAAACAAAAAGCCTTATTCCAGGTCTTAAAACCAGTACCCACGTAACTATTTTCTGTTACATGCTTCCAGGTCAGGATAATCCCTTTATTCTATTCATCAATGTCCATCCCGTGTATAAACTATGTGCTGAAGACTCCTGCTAGGCACCTAAGGACAATGTAGTTGCTTCTCTCATCCTCGTTAGGTCGGCAGGATGGTACGGATGCATAAGGCTTTACATGACATTCACAATACTGACCAGCGGGTACGTTATTCTCATCCCACCTAAGATTGGTGGTAGTTCTTTAGCTAACAAAAGCACACTATGTCCAACAGAGGAGACAACCTGCAAGCCTGGAGCAAGGTGTGTTCTCCCTGCTTGGAGGATAAACAACACCCATTTTGAAAGTACTCAAATCTGTCCTATTCCAGAGGCTGCAAACCGCTTGTGGGAAGGTACAGTACTCAGCTCACAAGTCTTTTTAAGTACTCTTGACCCACTTTTCACACAGAAAAACAGGATGGCTCACAGCATTCACTTACCTCAGTTGACCATTTTAAGAACCTTTTTGTTCTCAGTGGTATTTATAACTATGTACAAAAGTATTCCTAAGACAGCGAGTTCCCAACAATGCACTTATTACATAAGTGATTATAAAAGTAGTTTGGGATAAACATATTTCACCCTCAATCTGTTGTCCTTCTGCTGCTGCTGTTGCCTATTTTCTTATGTTTATAGTTATCCAAATTTATAGTCAAGACATCGATTAAGAGCTTTGAAATATCTCTTAGCACCCTATCCTACTGCTTGGTGTTACAACTGCCACGGAGTAACAGTATTGGAGGAACATGTATAATGCAGTGTGAGGATGAACCAGGCACCACACAAAGTTCTCATCTCTCTAATCCCTCACAGTAATTTGCCCAGGTAGGTGGTGTGACTCCGGTGCCCACACCAAGCTTGCTGCTCAGGTTCTGAGCTCAGACAGTCCTGGAGTGAATGCCAGCAGAGCAGCTGCTAGTTCAGTCTTACAACTCAGCTTCCTGACACGTAAGCTAAGGGAAAGCTGCCCACAAGCAGGTTACTGCTAGGATGTCATGAAGATAAAAACCACTGAGTGTAAGTCTTGGCAGGAAAAAGGAGCTCAGAGACATGCGCATTACTTTTATTATTTCCCCGCTATTATAAACACAGAAATATAAACAGTCCATCGTTACGTGCTGCCAATGACGACAGAAAAGCTGTCAAAGTTCCAGGTCTGCAGAGTGCCTCTCACAGCAGATGCATCCTCTACCTCAGCACGTCACAGGGTTGTCGCCTGAGCAGAGTTCAGGGCTCTGTTTCTTTTCCAGTTACTTTACTTCATGAGACTCATGACAACAGAAAACAATGAAAACAGAAAACTACTTACAACTTTGTCTCATAATCTTTCCAGGCTTTGTCAAATGGCTTCTTGAGATCCTTAATAAAGAAAAGATCACAATTACATCTACTTCTGTTTAGAATGAATAAATTCTGAAATGTTAGCAAAAATGACTTCCTTCATAGAACACTTGAAAAGTTCCTCAAAACACGTGCTCAGCACACCATTTGTTACACAGGAAACGCCGGAGAGGGGAGCAAGGTGGGTGTGCCTGGTGACGCTGGTGAAGCAGGATCCACAGGATGGAAGAGGCTAGTCCACAGCGGTCCTGCCTCCCCCCAGATGACAGCCAGACACTCTGAAGGCCTCAATGTCATGCCACGGTCAACACCAGTACTGGCGTGACCCATCTCTTGCAATGACCACTTCCCAAGAACAGTGTTTATGCTACACGTTCACCGTTACTTCTCAGATACAAGCAGTGCTGTAACCTGAAAGCAGAGGGAGAAAGCAGGCCTTTCAAGCTGAAGTGGAAATCCAGATTTCTGAACACTTACCCCTTTGACTCCTTTTAGGTCTCCTTTCAACAGGGAATCCAAGGTGAAGATCACATTGTGGCTCAAACCCTGGAGCTGAGAAACCAAACAAAGACAGGAGACAGTTTTAAAAAAAAGACAATAAAGCCAGCTCATGTTGACAGTAGTCCCCCCACTGGACTCTGCTGAAAGGCTGTCTCACTGATCCTGAACGACACCAGCACACGTGGCATAACTGCCCCCACATCGCAGCTCAAGGGATGGAGGTGGGATAGAGGCACCTCGATAGCAACGGCCAGCCCAAGAGCAAGACCTGGCATGCGAATGCAGGCTACCGTTGGGTCGCAGAGCTGTGAGCCAACACCCTGCTACAGTCTCCATACAGGTCAGATGATCCCTAACACCATTTCAACACCCAGAGTGGAGAAGGCAGATCTTTCTTTGTCCATGCTGTCACATAAAAAGGGACCGGACATTTGGCTTTCGTTGTTTCCATTTGATTTTCTTTAATGTTTGCACCATTATCTGAAACAAGTTTCTGGATGTGCCTTCTGTTGTCCCAACCAGAGCACAGGCACAAGGGCAGGAACTTAGTTCTGTTCACTGCTGTGTTCTCAGATTTCACCGCAAGAAAAAATCCTTAAGAAGTGCAACCGAGGGTGGCGGCCTGCTTCCCTTCAGTGCTCTCTGGCAGTGGCTTGGAGCTACCTGGTTAGCAGATAAGACAGAGAGCAGGCTACAAAGGGGGAAGGAACAGAGCTGCTAAGCAGCTCATAGCAAAGGAGGTGGAGAACTATAAGAGGAACAGTCAGGTGAGGAAACAAGCATGAGGGCAGGTAATGACGTGGTCTGTTCTCAAGACCCCTCATAGTCTTGGAGAAATAAATTTTAGTGGTGTGGAATCAAGTCTATGGTGACCTACAGACGGAGACTGTAGGTGGAATGGCTTGTGGGTCTCCTCTCTCAGGGAACACTTTTATTCATGGTTAAGTGCATTCATCTCTCCATCCATCCTTTACTATCTACTTGGTAGCGCACACTGTGTCAGGAGCTGGACATTCCTACCCTGAGGGATCCAGCTCTGCAGACAGAAGTAGTGGGCAGCACGGGGCTGCCTCCACCACAAGAGGCTGTGACGTGGCAGGGGACAGCAGAGTGACAGCATCAGCACTGGCTATCAGTGTGTCGCCTGAGTCAATGTTCCTGGCAAGTGCTGGTTCATCCCCGATACCCACTAAGTGCTAACCACAAATACCAGGTGATACTGCAGCCAAGAGGCTCAGAGGAGAGAGAGGCCTTCCTCAGGGCTCCTAACTTCTCCACTCTTTTCCTGTTGTTCTCAATCTGGGCTTCCTGCCAGTCATTCCACTGCCATACCTCCCGCAGCACCGGCTCACACCACACACCAGGAAGACATCCCAGTGCATAGCACCAGGGGCCTGGATGGCAGTTACTTCTTTCTTGTAGCCTGGCCTAAAGGCCCCTGTTTTTCGGGAGTCTAGGACATTAGTTTGTTCTGAATGTATACAAAAAACACCTGAAACATTAGATACTGTTGTTATAGTTGATAATGATGGTGAAACAAACTATTTCCTTCAAAGCAAATTGCTATTTAAACTTTTTTTTCCTTACAAAAGGAACATATCCCCATAAGTACACATACAAAGCCTAATGAGAAATTTTAAGTTAGACAGAAGAAAGCTGCAGTCTAAATACTATGAAAAAGAAATATTTAAGTAAATGATTGCAACCAGTAGTGGACTCGATAATTATTTACTCCTTATACTGCTCTCCACATGGTCCGTTTCTAACTATGGCCCCACCATCCCAACCACTGCAGATACCTTCACAAGTCTTCCCTGCATGTATCACAGGTCTCAAAATTCATGGAAAATGTGTTTTATGAAGAAAAAAACCATGCACACATATCAAAACTACTTTGTGTCAAAATGACATTTCTCAATTCTACCTTTTCACCAACTTTTTGAAGTACTTGCCACATAAAACACACATATCTTGTCCTGGTTCTTTTTAAGTCTTGTTACACTGCTTTACACAAAAAGAAATGATATTATTTTTTACCCTCTTATCACCTATCTTTCTATGCTTGCAGGCATGTATGTTACGCTAACCAGATCCTAAAGTGTGAGTCAAGAAGCAATGGCAAGGGCCTGGCACTAGGGTATAAAGCTGCCAACTTCATTATGGACAGTCTATGTGGGTTCAAGTCCTGGCTGCTCCACTTTGGATCCAGCTCCCTGCTGATGTCTTGGGAAAAGCAGAAAGAAACTGACCCGTGTATGGGGCCTTGTCACCATGAGGGAGACCTGGAAAGAGGTCCTGGCTTTGGAGCAGCCCAGCTCTGGCTTTTGTGACCTTCTGGTGGGGGTGGCAGTGGGGTGGTGGTACTGGGGGTGGTGGTGGTAATGTGAACTTTCAAACAGATAAATAAATCTTAAGAGAAAAAAATTGCAGTGGCAGATGATGTATTGCCTGAATACTGCACAGCTCAAGTGTGAACCCCTGTGTGGTTCTAGCAGGGACCTGCCTGAACGGCTGCCTGTAAGTCAACAGTGTTTTCCCCCTTGCTTCCGAGGGGAGGGAGCTGCACAGCTCTGCAAAGGGCACTTCCAACACACCTGCACACACAACCGCTGTATTAATTAATGGGGACATAATTTGTTTGCTTTGTCATCTTGCATTAATTGACATTCTTTTTTCACTGCCCATTGGTTCTCTCTCTCTCCTTTCGCTCTGCAGACAGAAACAGTTTCTCTGAAAGCAAAGGCTAATGCAAATCTGCTGACTTGCTCAACGCATTGGAAAATCCAATTAAAATAATGAGCCAGCTCCCAGCAGTTAAGTTGGCGATTCCCTGGTATAAATTAGGTACCCTGTCTAGTGAGTTAACTCCTTCATGTGCTAGCCAGTTATTTAGCACCTTGAAGCTATTTAATACTGGTGCCTCATTCAGAGGCTGCTTTCCAGAGCACTGCAGTACAAAGCGAAGAGCCCAGGGGCATGTGGCCACTCATCATCCCTGGCCAGAGTGCCTTCCCCAGCACTTTGCTCAACTAGCCCAGGCCAGTGCACACAGATCAAGCCTAACTGACAGCACCAAAGCTCCATTTTGTACCAGCCCACAGTCAGCTGTCTTTGAACTGTCTCATCAGCCGTTTCCGAAAACCCTGTAAGGTATTTATATAACATGCGCTCTCGCGCGCGCTCTCTCTCTCTCTCTCTCTCTCTCTCTCACACACACACACACACACACACACACACACAGAGCTATTTCAGTGGAAGAATCAAATCACAAACCAGGTCTAATTCCAAAGCCAATGAACTATCTGCAGTACCATTTTCTAATGTCACAAGGATGTTTTAAGAACTACGGTACTACAACACACAGGGGATGACTTTATTGCCATTACTCATTCACTGAAGTAAGATTTGATTGATTTGGTTGCATAAGTCCGAAAGAGGAACTAGGAGTATTTGCACACAGGTGGAAGCCACTTACAACTCCAACAGAGATAAAAGTTAAAAATCTCTGAACAGGCAATAGTTGTAAGTGTTTACCACTTTGGCAGCCAGAGAGCCAGAGCAGGTAGGGCTAGGCAGGCAACACAGATGTGGTGGGTGTGGGGTCAGGCAGTTGTTCAACCTTTTGGAGATGTGGACTCAGGGCTGAAGTACCAGTAAGACTAATTCATGTGCTGCTACAAGGAGAGCAGGAGACAAATATACAGCAGCTGGTGCAAATATATGCAAAATGCTCCATACAACCTGGGTTCTTAGTAAAATGTAACACTTGAAAAACTAAGCAACCATGTTGGAAAAAGTGTAGTTCTGCAATTTCAGGTGCTTCTGAGGCTGGAAGAAGTGCTCCAAAATATCCTTTATATTGCACCAGTCTCTCCACTGCTAAACCTCTGTTTTCATTTTCTTGCCCCATGCTGCAAAGTGGACTTTATATGGAAAGATAATGCATCTAGTTATAACATGTTCTAATCCAACCAGAGCAGACTAAATTTGATCTTTTATTAAGACCACAGGGTCACAATACTCAGTGAAATGGGTCTTCGTCTCCCCGTGGAAACGACGAACTGGGTTCAGGCTCAGGGAGGTCAAGTTACCTTGTACCATGTCAAGCAGTGAGCAAAGCAGATGGTCAGCTTATTTATTCAAGTTTTTATTGACTCCAAAGCCATCCTTATTTCCTCTGTGTCCTGCTATCACGGTAATCTTTATCTGATTGTATAATTTTGTTGCTTGAGGCCCGTTGCTGGCTCTCCACTCACTAGTTTTAGGTAAGAACTCCAATTTTATGTATGGCCCTGCCAACCTGTCTTGAGCCCCCTGCCTCCTGCCATACTTTAGCCCTTTCTCAGCTCCTGCCCCACCGAGCTCACTTTTTTTTTAAAAAGATTTATTTATTTACGAGCTCACTTTTGCACATGCTTTCCCATCTTTTGGGACATTCTCTGGTTTCCACGTCACTTCCTCAGTGGAGCACTGAGCATCCCACACAGATCTCTTCTTCCTAACCAACTTCTAGCCTTTTCAGTCTCAACAATTGCCAGAACAGGCTCACTTTTCAGAACCTCACACCAATGGCTTGTCTGCTCAAGGCAGGTCCTAGTTCTGCTTTGCCCACTTTGCTCTCTCAGACTCTTAGCACAGTGGAGTGCTTGTAGAGTGACTTAGTGGATGAACAAGGGAGTTCCTTGTCTGGCCAGAACTCTTTCAGTTCTGAAATGTTATATAACAGTTCTGGCCTGCCTGCGGTGATCAGTACCAGAATGGAGGTAGGGACGGGATGCAGAAGAGGGATGTGAGGGTTCAAACTGATTCGAGGTTATGTTTGGGGATGTTAGACCAAGGTACCCTCCACCAGACAGGTACCATGTCAAACACTGTCTAAGAACCTAGAGAAGAGAGGTTAAGGCCAGGATATGTACCCCTGATCAGCCCAGACCTGACTTTGCTCACTCTAGGCACGCCACTTCTCATCTTGGCCATGATACAGTGAGAGGTCTTCTAAGGTCCCAGGGGAAGCTCCTAGTTACTATATTCTTACATCTCAGAATGAGCTC